ATTAACATCTAGCCGCCTAATATTGTCTTTGTTGCCCTGATACTAGGGCCGCCTCCTGAGAAGCCGCCTGCTATGGTGTAGACGACTGCGTCATCAGTATCAGAACTGTCGGCCGACTGATGATTCTTTTTGGCCGACTGCTTGTTCTTTGAGGAAGTGTTCCCCTCAGACTTCTTGACATAGGAGTCAAGATCGCCTTGGTCAGCTAGGTGGCCCAAGTAACGCATGAGGCTGATACATTCGTTGGTTTCATGACCAATGTCTTCATGATAATGACAGAATTTGTCCTGGTTCCGATTTCTTGCAGAACCCTTCATGGGGGCCGGCTTCTCGATTGAGATCCGGCCCTTGATTTCTTTTAGGATAGCTTGGCTATCCTTGTTGAACACATACCTCGGAGAGTATGGTTTGAAATCTTTCTTCTTTTTCTAGGCCGGCTTTTAGAGGAGTCGGCCGCCCAGACTTCTTTCCTCTTTTTCTCACCTTAATTGGCCGACTGCTTTGGTCGGCTTTCTTTTTTGTCGGACCTCCGTCCATCCGACTGCTTTCCAGTATTACAGAGATCAGTCGCCTGTATATAGGCTTCAGCTTCAATCAAAGCTTCCTGAAGAGTCGCAACCCTCTTTTGAACTAGGTCAAACTTGAAGGTCGACCCATCCTTAAGACCTCTAAAAAAATCAGTGTAGGCTATCTCATCCGGCAGCCCTTGAATTTGAATCCTCATCAGGTTGAACCGCCTGATATAAGAACGGAGTCCCTCCTTCTCACCCTGCTGAATGGTCCCTAAATCAAGGGTCGTCTTTTTTGCAGGGATGTTCATAGAAAAGTTGGAGGTGAACAAGTAAGCAAGCGTCCTGAAATTGTTCACACAACCAGTCGGCAGGTTGCCGAACCATTGTTGTGCGATTCCTTTGAGAGTTGCTGGGAAACACATGCACCAAGTGGGATCATCCAACCCTTGAAGGTACATTAGGTTGGTGAACGCCATTAAGTGGTCTTCAGGGTTAGTAGTGCCATCATAGGCGCCTACTAGCACATTCTTAACTTTGGTCGGCTGGGCGGCCTCTGTAATTTCCTTGGAGAAAGCGGACGGCTGTTCTCCAAGTCTTAGAAACCGTAGTTGCCAGTCCAATGGTTGGACATTTGTTGCCGCCTGTCCTCCAAACAGAGGAGGCTGCAAGAAGTATTGTTGTTGCGGTACGTATGGTATGTTTGGTACCGCCTGCTCTTTATGAAATCCAGACCGACGAGAGGTACCGCCTGTCTGACTCTCATAATTCGATTGAGTATACCTCATAGAGGTATTGTGCAAACTATCTTGAAAGTCTGAAGTGGAGGCCGACTTTGACAGTCGGTCATTCTTCTTCTGCTCTAGCAACAGCCGAGCATCTGAGTATGTTTTCTTTGACCCATCCGCTTGTACATGACGAATGGGCTTCCTCTTCCCTGGTGAGGGAAAACGATATCTTGTTAAGTCGATCACAGGCGGCTCCCACTTCCTAGAGTTAGGGTGGGGGTCGCCTCTCGACCTTGAACAGGCTTGCTTCTTCCTGAATGAGAAGGTTTTCTGGCCGACTGCTCCTTAGAGGGAGCAGGCGTCTTCTTACTGATTAATTCTTGGATCTCCCCCTTGAACCCCCTCATGAAGGTCATGAGTTCGTTCCGTGTAATAGGAGCAGATCCTTCAGCCGCTTGTTGCTGATCAGGCGTTGAGCCGGCTGGATTGCTTGGTTCAGCTTGGTAATCTACCCATTCTTTCCTTTCGGTGTGACGGGTGCGTCGGGCCCTTAGGGTCCCGTCTGAGGTCGTGTGTGTTTCCACCTCAACCTCATTATCAGTATCGTGGTCTGAGTAGACTTGAGGTTCGTCCAATGGACGCCTCTCTTTTGGAGTCGGTACAGACGTTGATGCCATCTCAAAAGTACTCTCCCCACAGACGGCGCCAAAATGTTTCAGGGTTTTCTGATGTCCTGCGAGAGAGTTACAATTCCGAGACTGGAACCGTGTGCCTGTACCTGCAAAATAACGGAGACTCCGGGTGTTGGGAGCTCCGCCTCCGACGATCAAGTTAGTACTTGCTTTTGGAGTAATAAATGCGGAAAATGAGATGGAATGTTTTCTCTAGGTGAGAGTAAATAATGAACGTCATCCTCTTTAATGTGGATTAGCAAATGTATTTATAGTCTTGGGATGCGTGCCACTCCTAGGTTTAGGTCAACCTAGGGCTGATTGGGCTTCCACAAGTTTTTGGACCTAGGTGGCCGGTTTTCCCATCTAGCATGGGGGAAGGCCACGTGGCGTGACTCAACTGGTCCAAGGCGGACAGATCAAGGCCTAAGACATGGCAGGCTCCTATTGACCCATGTGGCAGACATATGGCGGAACCTGATTGATCCAATTATCAGATAGTGATTGGAAGGGAAAAATCCCCCAATCAGCTGTAGCACGTCAGTAATTCTTTTACAAGTTATTAAAAGTATTTATAGGTTATTGCAGGTGATTACAGGTTTTGAAGAGAGAATTACTAGGGTGTTACAAAAATAGAGCATGTTGGATCTAGGTTTTCACAATTTGGGGAAAAACTGTGTGTGACATTCCTAGAGCTTAAGGAAGCATCAACAATCATTAATGGAGTAGGATTAATAAGGCTATTCCCAAAAATCATGATCAGAAGTTCAATTAAGCTTGGCATTAATGGAGTTCGAGGAGTTATGTATTACATGAAGCCATTGATTAAGCTGCTCCTGGTGTTGCTCACAATCTTCTTTGGTCACCTCCTCAATATGGATCTATTCCACCATTGAAGAATCCAACCAGCTTTCCAACGAGGTATCTTCCAAAGCTATACTCTGCTATTTCTCCTTAGTGTAATTTCTGGTCATTGGTTTCGATTTCTGTTTGGATTTCTGCTTGTTTTTGGACTTAGAGCTAGAATTATTGCTTCCCTTATTCTTCTTACCCTTGGCCATGGCCCAACTGAGGTTTGAAGGCAAGAAAAATGGCAAGTCTAAGCTTATGCTCTGTAGGATTTTCTCTCTGCGGGGCAAATGTTTAGGGTAAAAAATACCCATCACGTGGTCCTACCCCTTGGTGACACGTGGCCCAGTAAAAGGGCAACACGTGTCCCAATGGGAAGACGACACGTGGCAACACAAGAGCACCTGAATAAAGAGAAGGCCTCCATTACATCAAGAGGCCCGATTCCCGAGAAAAGCGCCAAAACGGCACCCCCAAAAGACATGTGTCCTCGCCTGATTGCGCCACCAATAAGTGGCCACTATCTAGGTCATCAAACCCTAGAGGGCACACTTTCTCACCCCCATAAATGCCCCAATCATTAATGATTCGTTCAAGGCTTATTTAAAGTGCTCTAATTTCTCTCTACTTTATCTCTCTAAAAACCTTCGCTTTGCGGTTACTAACTTGACCGTCGGAGACGAATATTCCGATACCGGAATATTCGTTCTTTTATAGGTGTATGTGGCCGTCCGAGTCAGCTGAAGACCTTTATCCCGAGGGAATCACAAAAACCCCGAAACACTTCCTATTTTTGGCAAAAATACATATTAATATTATATTTTTCTCCTCTCATGGTGTCCAACCAAATCCACTACTACTTTTTTTTTTCCTCTTACATTCATTACTATTTAATAAATTATTAATTCCCCTTTCTTTCTTTTAAAAATTTTAATGCTTCAACTACCCCCCTTACCTCTTATTTTATTTAAGTTAATTTAATTTCCTAAAATTATGTGGCGATGAAAGTGTAATACTTAAAAAAAACACAAAAGGAGTATGAACAAGTTATTATACATTAACAAGCTTGAAATTCAAAGTATTAAAACTACAATTCTTAAAGAAAAATTGTCAGGAATAATAGGACTTATTGTTTATTCTCCAATAAAACGACTTTTGACACTGATCTTCCATAAATAGGATAAAAATTGGTTACCTGTTTCATAGGTTAAAGAAAGAAACGTGTCATATTATGATTGGTTCGAATTTTTGATTTTTTTTTAACATATTTCTGTACAAAAATGATATTCATTTATAAGAAAACTAAAAAAAAAAAAAAAAACCCTCTCCATTGATTCTGGCAGCCCCACCCCCTCCATTTCCATCCACCTCTTTCCTCCCCTTTCCGATCACCCCACCCCTTCCCCTCTCTTTTCCGACCACCCCTCTTCCTCCCCTTCCTCGCACCACGTTTCTATTCTCCTCCCTTTTTCGACCACCCCTACATACCCCCTTCCCTTCCCGTTTTTGACCACCGTTCCCCACACCCCGTTCCCCTACTTCTCCCTTTTTTAACCACCCCCTCAACCCTTCCCTTTCCCCGTACCGCCTCCCCATCTCCTCCCTTTTCCATAACCCCCACCCACTCTCGTTCCCTTTCCGTCACCCGCGAACCAAACCCCAAAACAAAGCCCTCGTTTACCCTTAAACTCAAATCCTAGCCGAAGGTGTTGGTTTTGGGGCTGGGTTTGTGAGGGGGTCAGCGTGGTGGTGCGAAGGGCTTGCTTCGTGAAGGGTGGCATTCGATTTCCAAGGAAAGGGACACAGTGACAGTGGCTACTATGGAGGAGGGTTATGGTGAAAGTGGGGGAGGGGGGTTGGGGTAAGGGTAGGGGGTGTGTGGGGGTGGGGTGGGGTTTTCATGGCTGATGGAGGTGAAGGTGGGGGCAGTTCACGGGGTGGGGGGGGGGCTGTAGGAGGTTATTTTGTTTTTTGTAAAATTAAAATCAATTTTTTTAAAATAAGAAAAAAAGAACTATCTACCAATAATAAAGTGACACGTGTCACACTTTACTTACTAAACAGGTTGTGTCTTATTTATAGAAAATCAGTATAAGGATCCTTTTATTGAAAAATAATCAAAAGATGGGACAAAAATTGTATTAATTTTTTACAATGTTTCCATCTCTAAAAGCGGATTGAGGAACTACATGAAACGACTATGATGAGATTATAAGTATGGGATGGGAATCTAGGTAAGTAAGAAAGAATAAGATAAAAATGGAACCACGCCACAAAATGGTGACGCCAACAATTTTGGCCTCAGTGATGAAGTCCCATATACATCAAAGCGGTGTTTATGGATCTACCTTCCTTCTCTTTCTCGACAACAAATCTTTTTTCCCCCTAAATCAATCCTTCTGTAAACACCTCCTCACATCATCCCTTACATTACAACCTTACCCAAATCCAAAACCCAACAACAAAACAAATTTCAACCGATTTTTAAAAGCACTGAATTTCATAATTTGACTCTTTCTTCGTCTTTTTTTCTCAATTTCCCACCTCCTTATTTTCTAATTATATCATCATCATCTTCTTTTTCATCATCATTTCCTCATTATCATAGAATTAAAAAAAACCGTTATTATTTATGCTTTGGACCGCCGCCATTATCAACACTGTAATAAACTCCTCAATTTTCAAGGCACCCATTTCTTAAATTTGGTCGGATTTTCAGGAACTATTGTTCAATAGTCGGTTGTTTGATTACAACAGCTCGAATAATGTTACTGTTAAATCTTTTCCTCGTGTTCAGGGTTTTCTTCCAGCAAGATTTATTTATTTGCTTCAACAGTTCCTTCATTTCCCGCTAAATTTATTCCAGTTTTTTCATTTCATTTGATTTTTCTGGTGATTTTAACAACTGGGTTTTGAAGATTTCCTGTGATTATTATCTGGGCAACTTTGGATTCATAGGATTTTCTCATCTTGTGTCTGACTTTGAACATCAGTTGACTAAGGTATAATCATAATCAATCGTAATTTTTTTTATTTTTGTTGGTATTTGTTTTTGTTATTATATGTTTGCTATTATTAGGTGATGCTTAGGAATTTAGTAAATGATTTTGACTTTGATTTAAATGTTAAATTAATCATTTTTGCATTTGCTTTATAAAATTTTATTGTCAATTTGGTCCATCGTATATCCGGCGTAAAAGTTAACATATTCGGACATCCTCACGCCCGAGTAGGATAGAAACAGTATATTAGTTATTATCTAGATGATCATTGGATGAAATAATTAATAAATTTGAGCTTATATTGTTTATTTATATTGTTTTCTTTAGGTCTTCGTTTTGAAGTAGTTGAATTTCAATTTGCAAGTTTGTGAACAATTTTGGAAGTCATTTTTGGCGGATTACGTGCCTGGTTTAATTTGGTGTTAATGGACGAATATATTGTAGACTTCAGCTGTGGAAGAGAAAATTTTGGTGGTGTCTACTTTATGTATGTTTTGTCTTAGTCTTGTTATTTTAGCAGGTAATTTTGTTAGTTATTTTCATGGAATACTCCTTTTCTCCTAAGGAAAAAGGAGATAGTTTTTGGGGTTCTACAAGTCCTCAATCAGATATCCCTATGGCGGTTAATGGCGAAACAATGAATTCGGCTGAAGATCATCAGTTCGTAAACATTTCAGACATGATGAGTTTGGATGGTTATGGTGGATGGTGCAACAGCCCCTCTTCAAATGACCAGTTGTTAGCATCTTATGTGTTATCATCTCTTCCATTTATGCCCTCAAATTATGCTGCTTATGATCAACTTAGTTTTGCTGAAAATGCCAATTCTGCATTTCCGATGAATGACAGCGGGTGCAGTACTCTGAATGTGTTTGGAAGTCCTCTCAATCATGTAGATAAAATGGTGTTCCCACATAAAGATGCACAGCTTAGTCCTCAAGTAGGTTCATCAGAGGATAATGATTTTTCTTCGAAACAAGGGAACATATTTATGCTGTCGCAGAATAGAATTCCTCAGCCTCTAGGGCTTTCACTGCCTGAGAGGATGCTTCGTATGTTATCATTATTTAAAGAGTCATCTGGGGGAGGGATTTTGGCTCAAGTGTGGGTTCCTATTAGATCTGGAGATCACTATATATTGAGCACGTGTGAGCAGCCGTACTTGCTTGATCAAATGCTGCTAGGTTATCGCGAAGTATCCAGGTCATATACTTTCTCTACTGAACTTTGCCCGGGCTCTTTTCCAGGGCTTCCTGGGCGTGTATTTATTTCCAAGTTACCAGAGTGGACATCAAATGTAAGTTATTATAGTTCTGCTGAATACTTAAGAGTTAAACATGCTCTTGATCATGAAGTTCGTGGATCTGTTGCATTACCGATATTTTCTCCTGATGAAAACTCATGTGTTGCTGTGTTGGAGCTTGTCACTGTAAGAGAAAAATCCAACTTTGATACAGAGATGGAATCTGTTTGCCATGCTCTTGAGGTAAGTTTGTCATTTTACTTTGCGCATCCTAGAAAACTTGTTCCTTTATTAACTTGTTTAGGTTGGAGCCTCAATATTGGGGCTATCAAAGTTTTCAATGCATCTGTTTATGTTGTTTTGACATGTGGTGAATTATTTTTTGCCTTACGCTTATGTTTAGATGTTATTAAGATTTTGAGCCTTGGTTGTAATGTCAATTTCTGGCGTAATTTGAAACCAAGTGTCCACTTCTCCTGACTTTAATTTCCCCATTAATCTATTAACTAGTGTCCATCTTCGTTAATGTAATATTTGTTTCCATTAGGATTCTTATAATTGGCCTTCGGGAATATTTGTTTCCATTAACCTATCCTTAGACCCAGATCCATATAGTTTCCTTGTCTTTATCTATCACTCCATGTTTAATTCTGTTGAGCATCTCATGGAAATGATGCTTCTCGACAGCTTTCTGTTAAAATTGTCATCCTGATGTGGTCTTTCTTGATCATTGCTGCTAATTATATGTTTAAACTGTAAACAAGCAGTGACTCTTACCTAGCGATGTGTGGGCCCTTTTATTTTTGGCCTTTGTCCTACAGAGTCCTATGGATAAATTGCATATTTTTACTATTTCCTCCGTTTTTATATAGATGCATCATTTATATAATTCCAGACTCCTGTGTTAACTGGACACAGCTAAAATCACGAAGTGTCCGTGTCGACACGACACGGACATGGACACGGGACACGTGTCCGACCCTTCACTGTGCACTCGGACACTTCCATTAAGAGTAGAGAGGAAAAAAGGAGGAGATACATGAAAGATAAATACATCTTGTTCGAAGATCACCATTGATATAGAGAAGACACCATTGATATAGAGAAGACAGAGAGAAGAAGATTGCCCGTTATTAGGATAATTTACCGAGGAAAGAATTAAAATAAAAAAAATATAGGGGTGGACTTAATGAAAAATTTAAAGCATTTGTAATGTATAATTTATGTATATTAACTTAAGTGATGTATAGACGTGTCCCCTTACCCGTGTCCAAATATCGGACAGAGTCCCCGTGTCCTAAAATTTTAAAACTTGCCGGATCCATGTGTCTGTGTCCGACACCCATTCCCGAGTCCATGTAACATAGGCAGACTCCTTGGCTTTTTTTGGAGTAGAGAGAGAAAGAAAGAAAGAACAAAGAGGGTCCATGTGATAGGAGAGAGAAAATTTATTAACAAAAAGTGAAAGTGATGCATCTAAATTAAAACTTTTATTTTTAGAAAGTGATGCATCTTATAAAAAACAGAGGAAGTATCAGTTAAAATAATTCACAGCAAATCAAAATTGGTGTTAAGCTTCTTAAATCTTCTCTAATCCTTGCTGATCATTTCAGGCAGTAAATTTGAGAACAGCTACACCTCCTCGGCTTCTTCATCAGGTATATTTCTGGATTTATAAAGCTATCTAGATTTTTTCCTATATTTTACCCCTCGCATGTGTTTTGAAAGTTGCAATCCTAATCCAACACTTCTTCAATTTGGTACTTACAGCGCCTCTCATTAAACCAGAGGACTGCCTTGACAGAAATAACTGATGTGTTAAGAGCTGTGTGCCATGCACACAGATTGCCTTTGGCTCTTACATGGATCCCCTGCACTTTTGAGGAGGAAGATGGTGAAAAAAGGTTTAGTGTATATGTTCAAGATAATATTTTAAATCTGAATGAAAAGTCTTTATTGTGCATTGAAGAGACTGCTTGCTATGTGATTGATAAAGAAATGCAAGGATTTGTCACTGCATGTGTAGAACATTGTCTTGAAGAAGGACAAGGTGTTGCTGGAAAAGCCCTTCAATCAAATCTTCCATTCTTCTTCCCTGACATCAAAAATTACCATATTAGTGAATATCCACTCGTCCAACATGCCCGGAAGTTTGGGCTGGGTGCTGCTGTTGCAATTAGACTAAGGAGCACTTATACTGGGAATGCTGATTACATATTGGAGTTCTTTCTGCCTCTTAATATTAAAGGGAATAAGGAGCAGCAGCTATTGTTGGATAGCCTTGCTGGTACCATGCAAAGAATATGCAAGAGCTTAAGGACTGTTACAGATGCAGAACTGGTAGGTTCTCCGGATTCTAAAGTTGAAAATCCTGAAGCATCACCAAGCTTTTTTCCAAGAGATCTACCACAGTTATTTGCTCAAAGCGGATCAATTGGAACTGAGCAGATATCTTTTGATTCCCCTAGCATAATAAATGATCATATCAAAGAAGATGGCCATTCTGAGAAGGTATTGTCCATATCTGTCCCCTCATTAAAAATTGGATATTTTGTGATAATTCTTCTATCTACTCATATCAAATAGATGATTTCATTTTTTAGTGACCTCTTGTTTTGAAATAATAGTACCGAGTCACCACAATGGCTATAAACTTCCTAAATGTCATTTAATGAACATAATTTTGTGAGTTGTGAGGAGGGTTTTTTTTGACTAAAAACAGTTAAATTGCCTGTTTTTGCCGTGTAATTATGATAGCTTATTAGTGTCAATTCGTTTTGTGCTGGAATGTGCATTTACTTGATTTTGTTAGGGGTAGTAAATTAGTAATTATGTTGATGGGATTATTCTTTGTGTCTAGAATATAGACGTTGCAACATAAACCCCACTTACTAATTGACATTTTTTCCGTTGATGGCTTCACACTACTATCTTTGATGAACTTCATTTATTTGTTGTACTTTGTAAAATTTAATTTCTAATTCTTAGGCTTAGTTTTAAAAAGCTCAGTTAAAAAGGGTTTCCCATGACAGATTGCAAGGCAAATGTACTCTCATGATCTCATCATGCTCATGAGGGACATTTAAATAAACTCATCTTTATGTTTACCTCCTCTGTTTCTTGTTTCTCAATACTTGCATCATTTTGACTATACACGTTTGTCAACGTACTACTTTGGCCGTTAATATCTTTGATTATGCTTTATTAAAATTTACAAATTTAAACTATATATATTTTAAAAATATCTATAACTCAACAACAATTAAATAAAGAAATTTATTTATATACATCAGTAGTAAAACATTGTCAAAGTTAGTATACGAATAGTTGGAACATTGGAACGTGTAAAGCCTTAATCCCATATATGGGGTTGACTACATGAACCAAAAATGATTATTCCGTGTGGTCGTCAACAAAAATCTTCCTCATTTATCCCTTGCAATCCATTACCTCAACCCTCTTGCAAGTCCATATACTTTATATCCTTCCTTACTCCTTCTAACCAAGTCATTTTCGGTCTCCCTCTCCCTCGTTTAACCCTCCATGGTCCCACCCTTCCACTCTTCGTACCGGTGCACCCTCGGGTCTCCGTCTTACAAGCCCAAACCAACGCAAACGATTTTCCCTTAATTTGTCTGCAATGCCTGCCACACCTACTTTCTTGCGGATAACCTCATTTCTGATTCTATCTCTTAGAGTGTTCCCACACATCCACCTTAACATGCGCAATTCTGTAACCTCCATCTTTTTAATGTGCTCCTTCTTAGAAGCCTAACATTCTGTGTACCATAGAGCAACACTGGTCTAATGGCAGTCCCGTAGAATTTTCCCTTCAACTGTAAGGGAATGTTTCGGTCACAAAACACTCCCGTGGCCGCTCTCCATTTAAGCCACCCTGATTTAATCCTGTGAGCCACGTCTTGATCAATATCCCCATTTTTCTGTGATGATCGACCCATGATATTTAAAACATTCACTCATCTTTAAGTCTTTTCCATCCAAACTTACTACATCATTGCTTGTCCCCCTTTGAGTACCAAATCGGCATACCAAATATTCAGTCTTACTCTGACTTAAGTTAAACCCTCTAGATTTCAACCTTTGCCTCCATTGCTCCAACTTGGCATTAACCCCATCTTTAGTTTCATCCACTAAAAACGATATCATCCGCAAACAGCATACACCATGGAACCTCATCTTGAATTGGTCTAGTTACTTCATCTAGAATTGTTGCAAAAAGATTACTTCATCCAGAATTGTTGCAAAAAGAAAAGGGCTTAATGAATAGTGTAAGTCAATTTTAGGCAGGTATTGAAAAACGGGGGAAGTATATTTTAAGAAAAGGTAGTTTTTATATGGATGAGAAATAAAGGGGAGAGTGAATCAAGTATTCTAAAAGAATATAGAGGGGGAATTGCAACTTGTGCTCTTCAAGCACCTCCCGTATTAAATTTTAGGACTCTTTGGTAGATTTTTAATTTTCATTTTATATCAGAGAGTATTATTGGATAGATAACTTAATGGAATGTGCAGGGATAGCATAAAAAGGAGATTAAAGATGATGATAATATATTACCCATCTCAATAATGCTGAAAGGCCTAAAAAAACTTTTTGAGTGTTCCTGGGTTTCCCCCACAAACAATAAAGTCAGCAAAAAATTTCTAGATACCCTTGTCACATATTTTTATCTATTCTCTTTATATTTCCCTTCCCTCAGCTAATAACTCACTTCTTGGTAGAATACCCTTTGCGTCTCGTGCCTTTGTAGTGAAGACACTTCGCAACATAGTTGTGTTGTTTTTACAGTGTCCCCTGTAAAGCCTAGCATAAGTGGAAACCTATGTAACCTAATTCACTCATCTGAGGTTCGGTATGGATTTGTTTTTCGCTACCGTATTTGTAAGATTGGGCATAAAATACCCATTCAGTAGAATAATTATGTTTTGGTCCGCGATTTGTGGAGGTGGTTATGTTAAGGTAACACTTTTTGAAATGTCTGGGAGCTGTGAGCTGTTACAATACATCTTGTGACATAAACAATTGATCTTCCAACTTCTGAATACTCTTATATATTTGTTGAAAGGGTAATGAGAATCTTGAAATCAAATATTTTAAAGGTAAAGATGGATCGATTTTTGGAGACTAACTAATATATTCCTATCCTATATAACTGTTCCTTTATGCCTTTATTGTAACCAATGTGTTGAAAATTTATGGAATGTCTTTACTACAGATAATGTTCAAATTATTGCGTATGTATTTGATTAAGCAAATTTCTTTGTCTGAGATTTCTGCTAAACGAGCAAAGCCTTTCATGCTCTGTCTTCTTTTTTAACGTTTCAAAAGTCTTGTATGTATACAATTGTTATTTTCGTAAATGAAGTAATATTGTGTATCATCATACATATATTATAAGGTGATTTTTTCTTACTAATGGTCAACTAGTGGTGGACATGTAAAGGAGTTCTCAGTGATAATTTATTATTTTTGTAGGCAAGTGGTTCTAGAAGACCAATGGAGAAAAAGCGAAGTACAGCAGAGAAAACCGTAAGCCTAAGTGTATTGCAGCAGTACTTTTCTGGAAGCCTGAAGGATGCTGCAAAAAGCATTGGTGGTAATATTTCCTCACTCATTTATTTTGGATCTTGTCTTAAATTAAGATGTAACTTACAGCTAAGAATAATGATTTTATTATTTAAAAAAAAAAAAATGTATAACGTTTTTATCATGATTGTAGTTCTCGAATAAAATGTTTAATTGGATCATTGGATAGAAACTTAGTTTTTGCAGTTTAGGTTTTACTTTCTCTTAATTCCTAATGCACTACCCAGTTTTATATTGTCGGTGTTCAATAATTGCTGCATTATTCAAGACCACCTAGGCTATAATTAGTAATGCTGTTTTATCCATTACCAAATTCTCGTTGCATATTGAACATTTTTTCTTTCTCCTAGCTCTTAGAAAATTTCAAGTTTGTAATGCGCTCAAGGTTAATACACGGGAATGTATGCATTTGATACACGTATTTTGAAGTGGTACCTATTTTATGTGTTGCACCCAGTCTTAAGAAGTATGTTTTTATTCTCAATAAAGTTTGTGTGTGAACCTAGTGTCAGCCCATCATTGCCGCAAGGTCATTGATCTTTCCAAAATAACGTTTAAATAAGTTAATGAATAGGGCTCAGATTTCCCCAATATTTTGCAGTTTGCCCAACCACATTAAAAAGGATATGCAGACAGCATGGTATCTCAAGATGGCCTTCACGGAAGATAAACAAGGTGAATCGTTCACTGAGGAAAATCCAAACTGTTCTTGATTCTGTTGAGGGAGTAGAAGGGGGATTGAAGTTTGATCCTATGACAGGGGAGCTTGTGGCAGCAGGATCCGTCATACAGGAGCTTGATGCTCGGAATAATCTATTTTTGCCCGGCAAAATTTTACCTGTTAGAAAGTGTGAAACTGTTATGCAAGATGAAATGTGCTTCCCTTCCAAATGTCTAGTCGGAGAAATTCCTGCTGTTAAGCTGGAGAATGATTCCTGTGCAATTGGACAACAAAAAAAATCAATTACATCAAGTGATTGTATTGAAGAGGTACGGAAGTCTGATTTAGACATTGGATCACTTCATCTTAGGGATCACAGTCAATACCGTCATTTTGTTTCCCAGAACCCTGGATGTACAGTTGCTCCAGATGAGATGGAAAGTGACGACGGAGTGACTGAGCACAATCAGGCTACTTCTTCAGGCATGACAGACTCGTCAAATGCTTCTGGGTCCATGTCTAGCTCACCTAACAGTAATCATAAGCGGAGACAATCCGAAGATAAAATGAGCCATGAAGATGGTGGATCACGAATCGCAATTAAAGCCACCTATAAGGAAGATACAGTCCGATTTAAATTTGAGCTCAGTGCCGGATGTCTTCACCTGTATGAAGAAGTTGCAAATCGATTTAAGATCCAGCTAGGAACCTTCCAGCTCAAGTATCTTGATGATGAAGAGGAATGGGTGATGCTAGTAAGTGACTCTGATTTACAAGAGTGTCTAGAAATAATGGAATATCTTGGGAAAAACAGCATCAAGTTTCTCGTTCGTGATTTGACTTGCAGTATGGGCAGTTCAGGTGGTAGCAATTATTTCATACCTGGAAGTTGCTAGGTAGCACTATGAGTTACTCAAAATTTCAACTGAAACTCTTGGCTTCTTCAAAGTTCGAGAAATGGGTCATGGATAGACAATCAACCTGGTGGCTGCAAATGTGAAACATACTATTGGCCTTCCAGATTGACGGCGACTTACAAATACAGTAGATATAGGTTTGTACAGTAGATTTAGTAGCTTATGGATGTGTTAGTGAAGTAGAGTAAGGCACTACCTCTTCGTAGAGATTGTTTGAGCATGTCTTTGTTCAACGTTTGTATAGAAAACTTTCTTTCAAGTTCTGACTTGAGTCGATCCAAAATCAAGTTTTGAAGCTGTTGATTTATTGTGTTGTTTCCTGCCAGATTGAAATCCTCTACTATTGAAATGAGTTCTGGAAACAACTTTGAATCAGATGACTGATGGTTTGTGAATGAGAGGATTGTTTGTGGTTAAATTCTTACAAGTATTACATAATAAAAGGGGGCACGTGGACCCATTAGAGTGACACGTGTCATCTTAGGAGGCGCTCGAAATGAGCCAACCAGGACAAGACACGTGGCACCCCCTATCATTGTGGAAATGGCAGCCTTCAGGCCGAAATCCCATTAACCTAGGTAAAAATGACCTAAGGGGGCACGTACTCCAATACCCCTAAAAATAGGGACATTTATTATAGTGGGAGTACAATCACTTTCAGACATCCACTATTCATCAATCATTACAAGCATTTACTGCCTTTATCTCAATATCCGAGAAAGTCATCTTTCCTTTCATTCTTTACATTCTGTTTTCTCCTCCATCTCCTCCATCTGGGACTAACTTCACCTTCGGAGGCGGAACTCCGAACAACCGGAGCTTCCGTTTGTTTCGGGTACAGCGCACTCGGCAAGCCAGTCTTGGAGTTGTAACTCTACCGTAGGACACATTAGAAAACCTCGAAACATTTAGCGCCGTCTATGGTAAGAGTACCTCTAGGATGACATCTGACGAACCTGTACCACATTCAGTCAATGAGGAAGTGCCAAATGGGGCAGAGGTCCATACGGACCAAGATACCGAGCCAGAGACGGGAGCCGAAGTCCATACTGCCCCTAACGACTCACTCATCGTTAAACGCATCCGCTCCAAAGATAAAAAGGAGCGAAATGATAATCTGACAGGTGGTAGCAAGTCGGCAGGCAAGTCTCAGACTAAAGAGTCGACTGCTCACATCAGACGTTCAGAATTCTCGAAGTTTATGACAAACTTCAAAGGAGAAATGAAAACATGATTAAAAGTCAGACAGTTGGGCCTAACAAGGGCTAGTCGGCAAAGAAGCCGCCTCACTCTGAGCGGTTGAAGACAGTCAAGGACAGGGCACTAACTCCTCACCCAAGCGGCAGGAGGGCGCAACCCAGCCATTGACAGGACTAAGATTTGTCTTCCAACGACGTCTAAAAGAAAGCCCATCCAGCAGCAAGAGCCAGATGGCAACAAGAAGACATACATTGATGCTCGGTAGTTCATTGAGCACAACAAGACTGAGTAGCTATCTGACACGACATCAACGCCGACCATGTCGGACAGCACATTCAGGAATACTTCTTTGAGGTATTCCCAATCTGGCAAAGAATACCTGTCACGCAGTCAGTCTTCCCATACAGGCCCACATATTATACTGTCGGCGTCGTATGTGCCCTAACAGTCATACAACCCATTTGATCAAGCTTTCCAACAACCTGCCTTCTTTAGAGGTCAGGCGGCACAACAAGTCCGGCCATTGGACTGACAGCTTCGTCTGCTAAGACTTGGAGAATAACCTTTTGCGTTCTCCAAGGATATGACCGAGGCGGCATAGCCGACGAAGGTTAAGAATGTATTGGTTGATACCTATGATGATACTACCAATCCAAAAGACCACCTAATGACATATACCAACCTTATGGCATATACCTATGACGATGGTGCAAATACTTCCACTAGAACATAACAAACCTGAAGTAACACCCAAAAAAGTGTCACATAAAGTGGTAAAAGTGTTATAATAGACAATAAGTAATACTTTATTGGGTGATCCTTTCGCCCATGTTCCCTAAGGTCTTATGTAACACTTTGGGTAATGTATGGTAACACTTTCAAAAGTGTTGCTATAAACCCTCTTATGTAACACTTTTTTATATTTTTAGTATCATTTTTATAGTGTTACTTTTTATTTCTTATGTAACACTTACTTATCTTTAGTAACATTTTTCAATCATAGAGTAATACTTTATCAGACATTGTGTATCACTTTTGCAAACTAATATAGCACCTTGTTGATTATTAGGTAACATTTTTCAATCATCTTTTGACATATAGTATCAATAAATTCGACATTATGTATCACATTTTACAAACTAATGTAACACCTTGTTAATTAATAGGTAACATTAATTATTATTATTATTATTGTTGTTGTTGTTATACAAAATTAACGTATATGATATGCAATAATTTGAGTTGATATAATTTCTTAATGTCTAAATATCCATAAATACCAATTTATTTTTGTTTGGCTAAACAATCTAATAACCTAAACAAAAAGAAAGTTAACTTCAATCTCTAAACCGCCAAATTCCAAAACAGAAAACACAAAATGTTAGCAAGCACAGTTGCAAACTGACAGCATCAGTAACAGCAGACAGTAGCAGCAGACAGCAGCAGGAGACTGCAGTAGCATCAGTAACAACGGCAGCAAGCAATAACAGTAACAACAGCAGACAACAGTCAGCAGTAACAGTGACAGCATCAGCCACAGTAATAATAGTTGAAATTTCTTACGAGTGAGCTCCCCAAAACGATGAACCATGGAAGATTTACAGTGTTGGTAGTTCTCTAGAATCAGGGAAAAATTCCTCAAGGGTGTAACTCGCATAAGTGCTTGAATTGTAACATTGACAAAATCAGTCTCCTTAATGTTATTAAGCCCTACCTGAAAACAGAATGATTAAAATGGTAAACTAATCTGCTATAACATAGGATGCCTAATTATATATTTCTAGTTAGAAGATAGATAAAGAATAAGAAGGAAAAGGGTTTTTTTTTTATTTTTTTTATTTAGTCAGTCAAGAGAGTTGAAATAGCAGTTCAGAGCCATCAAGAGCTCTTGCCCACAGCTTGCTTCTATCTAGTTGTTGAACTTGTTCCCTGACAAACTTGCACACCAGAAATATCAGCAAAATGTTGTTATCTTATGCAAATCACATCTTTGAGGAGAAATCAACTCTAGAAATTATAGACATAATAACCATAATAGGTAAAATTATAAAAGTTAGGCATGCAGCATATATGATGTATAAGGTTTTTCTGACCTTATACTGATATTATTTTAGTCTATTAACCCAAATTTTCTTAGGTCTATACAACACTTTTGGAGCAATTTCGGTAGGTTAGTATGAGTTACCTGTTATCTGAAGACGGTACTTTACCCATACACCATAACTTACTTCTGCTATAGTTGCAACCTGAGCAAGATATAGAGTTCCCCAACTAGCGATAACAAAACATATAAAAGTCTAATTTATACTGAGCATAGGATGCAGATGACTTATAGGCTCGAATTTCGTGATTACGTAAACCCATCAAAGGCTAACGGCCTCATACGGTTTCGTTTAAGCCTGGAGTCAATTTTATCGGTGAAGTTCTCTGTTAGTGAGGTTTTATGTTCTTCATTCTTCCACATACTGCCCAAATTTTACACAATTTGATAAGTTGGAAACTTAACACCGGCATTAAATCCTCCTTCAGAAATAGAGAGCAATTTCTTCCAAAATTCAAAACCTATCAATCTCACTGGTGTGTAGCTTAAACGGTTGTTGCCTAGACTGCAGTCTTCCAAGCATAGCAAGCCAAACTATAAATCTATGCTTCGGATTAGTAAGATGATGTTTGTTTGACTCACATTAAGAAATCAATTATTTGTGAAGAAAGTAAGCACCAGAAAGGCATTCACAAAAATCCACACTAACATAAATATAAGTTGTTCAGCACTTAACAAAAAATTAATTATAAATTTTACTTAACAAACAAATAAGCTCATATGTCTATTTCTGAAAAAATTAAAACACAATCCTCTAGCGCTTTACCTATAGAATACGTATGACTAATCTAGAACAAAAGGCTCATTAGTACAAATTACTAACCTTGACCGAAAAAAGATCCTTGTCAGGGGTTGCCTATAAAATTACTAACGTTGTTCACCATCAAGAACTAAAGGCGGAAAAAAGATCCATGTCAAGGGTTGCTGTCCATAGTACCTCACATTGTTCACCATCTAGGGCACAAGTATATATCTGCTACTATAATATCCTGTAACTAGTATAGATCAGTCAAGCTCATTATCACACTTTGAAGCAGTGCCATTCAGATTATTCATCTCTAGCATTGCACATGCTCACTAATTGAAAACTTATTTCCTTAACTTATGGAAAGGTTAGACTAGAAGAGTAAGCAATAATGTGATCTCCACCCTGATTTTGTTTTCTGAAAGTACCAAAGGGTAATTTTAAAACTCAATGTCCTTCAATAAAAACTAAAAATGCATATACTTCGTATATGACTCTTATATTATCTTCGCTGCAAATTGACAGAAATTAAATTTAATGATAGAAATGGCATCTCAATTTACTACTTTACTCAATTTATAAATTGCAGGCATCTTCAAAGAACCATCGTTTATAATTGGGTTTTTCTAGAAACCCCTAAAGGTTTTGCGATGACAACCCATATGGTGAAACTGAGATTTAATTCTCTATTAGCAAATTATTGAATTTCCTCTACACCCAATCCTAGGCTATCCAACAACCCTTTACTTGCATATAGAAGGCATATAACTGAAGTTTTTTAAAGCCTAAACAATCTATTCAATAATGAATCCATTGCAAGCAGAAAACGAGTATAAATTTCATAGCTTTTTATAAATAAAATCATCTACGAAGTATATTTTACTCGATTAGAAAAATATTAATTTTATATTGAAGGGAACTTTATCATTCAATTATGTATCTTTGTATTTCTTGAAAAGTCAGCGGCCTCGACAATCAAAGATTTTACAATTTGGCAGCAAATGTAGACACTTCAAGCAATGTCGACAATATCAGTGTTAATTAAATTTCTATGGGACCTCTAAACTAAATTCAATACCTTACCACTTAATAATATAACTACATTGAACAATAAAACCCACTTCTATCAAGAGAAAATCAAAGAATCCTTGAAACAAACCCAGAAAAACTACATAAACCCAAAAAATATACTCCCTCCGTCCGGTATTATCTACAACATTTACCTAAAATGGATGCTCTTTATTATTGAAACAAAATAGTTTTTTTCCTCTTTTGGTAAATTTTTACCAGGAAATTGACAATTTTACCCTTAGTTAAAAATTTTAACTTTGATTATAATTGATTAATGA